CCAAACCAATTTGGCATGTCTTAATGGTAGAAAGTATTTACAGCATTTAAAATAAAAACTCTATAAATATGCATCAATTAGGCTATTTTGTTTGTCATTAATCTATATGTTAAGTTGTTAACATACAAAATAGCTTAAATGATCAGTTTAGGTCCTTGAATTTCATTACAAGCTGGTGCTCTCTCCTATGATCCTATTCCAGTCCTATCTTATGTCCATTATTTGTCCACCCCATTTCTGCTTATTTTCGCTTTCAGGCTGAATCATAATCATAGTTAATAGGCTTGCAGCATCATAATTTTAGGAACTATTGTTTATAGTTTTATCCATCATGCAATTTTTCTGGGTCAAGCTAGGACTTTGGAATGCATCTGCTAATTACTGTTCTGGGGATGGTTGAAGGTGCTAGTATTTCTATTACTACCAATGTTGTTAATATCTTTTAAATTTCTGATGTTGTTAGTGTACTATGGCCGATTTCTGTATTACAGAACAGATAATTTTGCTGATGCTTAAGCTGATCGTGTTCTTTTAATTCCTGATCAATCTTGGAATAATGTTGGTTCAGTCTGGTAGTGAATTTTCTTGGATGCTGAATATTTGTAAAAGTACTATGTTTGCATTCAAATATCAGTAATAGCTGAATTGTTACATGACAATTGACAAGAAGCAGGTCAGACATATGTGGCTACAAAAAGACCTATGAAGGGACATGGTAGAGAGATGATTCAATTGGGCCTTCCAATTGCAGATGCACCGCTAGATGATGAAAATGCTGCAGGGACTTCCAAAGGCATGTTCCTATGATGAGCCTTCCCCTCCTTGATTCCTACACCCACCCACCCACCCAGACACACACATGCACACAGAAAGTAATAATATATATTTTAAATTTTCACAAATAATTTTTTTAAAAAAGTTTAAAGTAACAAATAATTTATATATCTTTCTAATTTGATTGAACTTCAGTAGATCGGAGAATAGAAGGCATTCCTCCCTTGCTGCAAGATACTATTGAACGTTTGGTCAACTTGCAAGTTATGACTGTGAAGCCAGACTCCTGCATCATTGATGTCTATAATGAGGTGGGTAAAAATGGTGCTTTCTGGTGGTTTTTTGTAAAATGAGCTAGCTTTATGGCTTATGTTATCGTGGTTTTTTTAGGGGGATCATTCACAGCCTCGCATGTGGCCACCATGGTTTGGAAAGCCTGTTTGCATCATGTTTTTGACTGAGTGTGACATTACTTTTGGAAGGGTGGTAATCGGAGCTGATCATCCTGGGGACTATAGAGGCTCTTTAAAGCTTTCTCTTGCACCTGGGTAATTATTTCACTTTTTCTGGATCCTACAACCATCACGATGCTTCAATGTGCTTGGAAAATGGGGCATGTGTAGATTTGAAGAATATCCTTGTTTTTCCAGATTACTAAGTTTGAGTAATTTAGCTATTAAGTTAAAATCCTAAATGAAACTGGTAATAATACTTCTAAGGATATAGTCCCCACATCTATTAGAATACTGATGGTTATTGAAAGGTATTCTTTCTTAGCATTGCTTCCTCATTAAGGTCAAGTAGATTCTCTTCTTTTGTTTCATATTCCTGAGATTGTATTTTATAACTATCATGCAGATCTCTCCTTGTGATGCAAGGAAAATCAGCTGATTTCGCCAAACATGCACTTCCCACTGTCCGAAAGCAACGCATACTTGTTACATTTACCAAGTATTGTCAACCGAAGAAGTCTACAACTGACAACCAGAGGCTTTCTTCACCATCAGTCTCTCAGTCTTCCCAATGGGGTCCACCACCTAGTAGATCACCAAATCATATTCGGCATTCTGCTGGTCCCAAGCATTATGCAGTAATACCAACAACTGGTGTATTGCCGGCCCCACCAATTCGGCCACAAATTCCACCTTCAAATGGTGTTCAACCTTTATTTGTGCCTACTGCAGTTGCTCCTGCAATTTCTTTTCCTGCTCCAGTTCCCATCCCACCTGGTTCGACTGGGTGGCCAGCTGCCCCAAGGCATCCTCCACCTCGTCTCCCTGTTCCGGGCACTGGAGTTTTCCTACCTCCACCAGGCTCTGGTAATTCATCATCTCAACAGTTGTCAACTACTGCAACTGAACCCAACATTCCCGTGGAGATCACTTCCCCACGGGAAAAAGAGAATGGTTCTGTGAAACCCAATCATCATACAACTTCTCCAAGGAGTAGGTTGGAAGGAAAATCTCCAAAGCAGGACTGCAATGGAAGTGTAGATGAAGCTAGCATTGGGAGAGCTTTGATGAAGGAAGAACAGCAGTGTGCTGACAATAGTGTCAAGCAAACCTGCTAGCGCAGTTTAGAGAGAGAGAGAGAGAGAGAGAGAGGGAGAGAGAGAGAGAGAAGGAAAGGAGGTAGGCTGCGAACTGCAATGAGTTTAAGGCAAATGTAAAGTGCGGCAACACTTGAGACTTTTGACATTTAATACCAGTAGGGGGAGAACAAAGGGAGGGAAGAATGTCTCAGTTCTCTCTGCAATCCATTCTGTTCTCTTTTCCATTTTTTGTTGTTTTATTATATGAACTCTCACACTAGATGGAAAACTCCATTCTTAATTTAACTGTGGTTCTTATTAATATCTGGTTCAAAAGTTTTCTTAATCAGGAACGAGTTTGGGATGCTTTAGGAAATTTACCATGCCGGAAAGATGTGTTGAGTTACAGATGAAGCAAAGTTATTTGGATTGGCGCTGTAGGCTAGCTGCTTAATCCTGTGAAATCCCACTCTCCTTTAATGATTCAGAGCTTTTTCCCCTCTTCTTTCTTGTTTCTTTTACGCTAGAGATAAATGCTTACCAAGGGATCATATTCAATTCTCTGTACAGCACTCTTGAGAACCTAATCTCACACTGGATTAAAAGCAAATACTTCCTATTCGATTGTTGATTTCCTTTTACGCTTAAAGAAGCCCACTGTCGAGGACCCTGGGGAGTAGGGAGTTCATATTTGGCCTCCATGCTACCTCTTACATTTGAAAGCGACGGCTGCACCAAAATGTAGTTTTCAGCACCATCCACTACCTTTCTTTTTATATTCAACCATTTTTTTTTAAAAAAAAAATTAAGAATCATTCATTCCAGGAAGGTAGACCAAAACCAAAACAAAGGAGAGTAGAAGACTGATTGGCAGCCAGTCTTGACCCTCCCAACACAAACTGGAAACAAAAGCACCAGCACACCCTCCTCCTTCAGCAGACACAGACTAACCAACTCTTTGCCCATTTACAAGTGTACTCAAAAAACCTGCGCTAACAGGTGGGAAAAGAGCCAAGACAACAGACAAAAAACCAGACAGAACAAAGTAAGACATAAGAACAAATTCACTGTTCCCAACTCTTGCTAAATCTGAGCACCAAAACAGAAGACCTGGTGCGAGTCCATCCAGCAAAAATCAGCACCCTATCCCTCCTGCAATCCAGAGTCAAAATTAAAAACCAACAAAACTCAACCACATAGATCGCCCAACTTCAACAGCCGCCGTCCTCTGATAATTAGTGCCGGACTTGCAGCAGGCCGTTAACTCTTTCAACCCCCATCTTGGCAAGATTATCCGCCTATCACATTACCTGACCTCTGGATATGAAGGATCTGCCACCCAGGGACCTTTCGGAGCATTGCCTTGATCTTAAGAACCAGATTTCTAAGCCTCCAGTGAGAGGAAGAAGGCTTTAAAATCCAAGTATCTGCATTTTTGGAATCAATTTCCACAACTAGACCAAAACCTTTCAACCAAATTAAGGCAGCATTTATCAATATTCAGCGAGTTGTTCTTGCAGTGACATCTCAAGTATTTCATGTTAACTAAAAATGATAAAAAAAATAAGTCAGCTGCTAAATAATTGCCTTCTCTTCTAACATGGTTTGTTTTGCACTCCCAAGAACATTTCATTTGCGCTTTAACGTCCATGATGATAGGACCAGCATGTGAGAAGATTGCTTCGTTGCAATGGAAACCGACCTTTTACGTATATAAAGAACATCTCCCTCTGTTAACAACATATTGCAAATCCACGAAGCTGACGCGTATTCCATCTCCTCAATATCTTGTTTATCTGGAAAATCCGAATATAGCTATCTTCTTAAGTGTCAAAGATTCCTTTGTTAAGCTGAATAGCAGTATCAATAAATTCAGATTCTTCATGCATATTGCCATGATTCAATAGCTCTAAATCATGGGAAAGGTGACGAAGTTTGGATCCGCCAACACCAGTGATCATGACCAAGAATACTCAAAACTTGCGACACATCAGTCCCAAAAACATCACGCATTATAGAATTTATGGTTTCTTGCAACCCCAACAAAGTGTTAAGCTGTAGTAGTCCTCAACAACGTGAATCTTCTCTTCTACTTCCTGATGATGTAAGAAACTCTGGATTATGTGTTCCTCGACATGTCAGGGTTCGAAAAAAGTTGATGGTTAACATCCATTGGTTGATCAGGTCCTGGCTTGAGCAAGCTCTCATAATAATTTTGATCATTCATTTTGTCGATTGCAGATGTGGTGCCAATAATACATTTTAGAACATTGTGATGCTTGCTTGATGTTTGCAATCGCTGTGTCCCAACCCAAGCACCAAACTCCTTTTCAACAGCAACAAAAATCATCCGAGAATCCTGAACCGATCGATGAGTGTCATCATTGAAGAGAACGTTCAGGTTTATCAGTCTTTGAAAGAGATCGTCAAGTCCAGGATCATAAAATCGGCAGCGGTAATTGGCCAGTGCTTCACCATTGAATTGACATTGGACCTTCATTTACTGCAGTGAATAGTAACGGTTTTTTCCAGTGACCTGCCATGACAAATGTGCTTAAGACTCCCTTCGTTGTAACCCATAGCTACAGATTCTTGATACCTTCCATAGCCGATTCTAAACCCCATCGAGAGTTTTGCTTATAAAAAGATTTATTGCAATTGGCTTAGAATGAACACGCAACAATGTAACCTTATTCCGAACAAAAAAAGGATTGGGTTTTCGGAAAAGAAAACCAACATACACATGTCCAGACGGTAATCTGAGTGGGCTTGAACCCATCTCTTACTTGTGATTGTATCCTTTCCCTAATTAATAAATCTAATTTGGGCCTTTGCCCATCGTAGTAGATTGTATTATTAAATCTTTCTATTAGTCTAAAATATGGTGAAACAAACCAAAAGAAATGGAGGACAAGGGCATGGAGCATCCTAGACTGATTTTGCATAATTTCCTGACAGAAGAAGAATGCAAGGTTAGTAGCGCCAAATTGCCAATCATTTATTCATCGTTTTATCAAAATCTTCTTTGATGTTTATTGTTTGAGATAAATTGAAATATGAAAGTTGAAACAGGAACTGGAGTTCATACACAGGAGCTGTAGCACTGTGGGGTACAGACCCAACGTATTTTCCACAACACTGTCTCATCTCATCGCTACTAATTCTCCTCATCTGATCATCCCTTTTCTTCCCATTAGAGGTCCTTTCCTTTTCTTCTTCTGCTCTCCTTTTTTTTAAAAAAAATAAAATAAAATTTATCAAATTTCATTATTATTTATAGTATTTTTTAAAATTTGATTACAGATAGATTGAAGGAGAAGGTAGAGGAGATCTTTGGGTGCGAATATGAGCTTGTCACCGAGTTCACTGGCCTTATCAGGTTCTTCTCTTTCTTTTTGTTCACGGGGATAGTTAAGTTTGTAGCAGAATATGACTTGATAATTTTGTTAAAAGTACCAAAAGCCTGAATTCAGAAAATCAACAACAAACACTTGCTAATTTCCTTTGGTAATTAAATCTGTGTTGCATTTGCTTGTTTATTCACGTTACCCCTTGATTAGTGTAATGATTAACATGCATCATAAATATCAGTTGGAGCAGAGGAGCAAGCATCGGTTGGCATAGTGATGATAACAGGCCCTATCTCAAACAACGGGATTTTACGGTGCGTGCATAGGTTTTGTGAAATAATGTCCCCCACAATTAGTCTTCTGTTGATAAGTCTTGCTGAGGGTGTTTTTCTTTTCCAATTTCACTTTTTTCTGCTTTTCAAAGGCAGTCTGTTATTTGAATAGTTATCAAAAGGATTTCAAAGGTGGATTATTTCATTTCCAAGATGGGGAACCCAAAACTATTGCGCCTTTGGCCAGAGTAAGTGCAGCTGTTAAAGGTTTACTGAAGACATGTCTTCTCTTAGTAGTATTTGCATGATAATGTACAAGCTTGAGTTTAGGTCTCAGAAACAGTTCCAATTGATGCTTGATTTATTTATTTATAAAGCCGTAATAAATCTATCAACTGATCTAATATCTGTCCAGGAGTTAAGCATTCTATACACATCAAAAGGATATATGTTTTGAAGTATTTGGAAATGAGATCATATTGTAGGCAATATGATCTTGACATGGATCTAGTATTATTTATGACTAATTTGGGAACTTCTTTTGCGGGGGTTTTAGTACTTAAATAAGGGGTAGAAAAGGTCTAGGCTCAGGACTCTTTGAGTTGCCAGTTGTGATGAAGGGACCCTGATGAAATCTGATTGTCTGAAGCAGCTAGGCACAAACAGCTGTAAGGTTGTAAAGTCAGGGTTTGAAAGGTTTAATGACAAAATTCGAGGTCTAACAATAGAGAGTTGAGAGAGGACAATGAGAATATGTTGCAAGAAATATTCCTTCAACTTTATGTGTTCTCAGTATGCATGCCTCAATATTTATCACTCCAAAATCTACTAAAATATGAAGACTAGGTAGGTTTTTATGGAGATTGTTGGATTTTTTTGTCTTGTGAGGACTTAGAGTTCAATAGTAATGAAAAGACTTATAGTAACCTTAGAAACTTATGTATACACAGGACTTTGATCTCCAAGAAGACTTGATTAAATTACAAAATAATGTTTAAATTTCAGAGTTAGAACTTTGCCTCTCCGCATAGAATTCAGTTGGTTGCTAGGACTATCTTTGCCTAATAAAAAATAAGGTATAAGGAAACTTTTTCATTCGTGACTTATCTTGGCTTCAGTGCAGAAGTAGCTATGTTACATTGGATTAGTGATCAAGGCTAGTGATAGCATGTTTACTCAGTAGCTTTGAGATAACATTTGATTGTACTCACTGAGTTATTGTATATCAGGACGCTGTAATGTATACAGCTGACAGCCGCAATACTCATTCTGTGGATGAGGTACTTTCAAGATCTCTCTCTTACTCTCTCTCTCTCTGTGTCTCTGTTGTGGGTAAAAATTTAAAAAAAGATTTTCCAATTCTTCTATAAAAGAAAAAGGATACTATTAGGGGTTCAAGATGATAAGCTGAGTGTCTAGCTGCTCAGTGCTTAGGCTTGATCTCAGTCTCAAAGGGAAAATTTGAAGCTTGATTTGAGCTAGGAAATTATTGTTCAAACTTGTCTTAGATGAGTTATGTTCTTAGTGAATAATTATACAAGTTTTCCTTTTTCTTTCATGCATTAAAAATATGAGAAAAATTGAAAACTATGATATAAGTGGTCATAAAGTAATTTCAGAAAAAGCAGTGCTCAGAAAGTAATGTGATGGAATGTAAAAAAAGGGTGCTTTGGACCATATCTTGTTTGCTGCTTCATTTTTTAATTTTACCTTAAGTTTTTGTATAAGAAAAGTTTTAATTATGGCTTGGTTGTTGTCAATGAAATCCTAGGTTGAGTAAATTTACATAAAATCCATGAAAGGTTATTCAGCATTGTGTTCTAATGCTCAGTCAAAGCCATGGTTCTGCTTAGACTTGCCCTTTTCTAACAAAAGAGATTCATTGTGAAGCTCTAGTATGGTATGAAAATCAAATAAAAAGACTGAAACAAGGCAATTATTTATTTTTATTGAATGACAATATAATGGAAATTATGGTGGCTTTTCTTTATTTTCTGTCCTGCTCTAAGATATCCATTCTTTTTTCTGTGTTTGCACACTGTATGCAATAGTAAATAACAGGAGGATCTTTCACTTTTTTAAAATTTTTGATAGTGTGTATTAGATGAGTGATTTTAGATTGTGGCCAGAAGGAGCTTCATGCAAAAAAAAAAAAAACACCTATTTGTTTTTCCACATATAGCTCTCCTATTTTCACTCCTTTTTGTCTTTACTACTGCATTGAGCTTTGGCCTGTGGTCCTGAATGTTGTTTCAACTGCTTTATTTCTGACAGCTTTTTATGGCGCTGATGTATTAGATCATTTGACAGGTAACTGAAGGAGAACGGCTAACGCTTACTTTATGGTTCAGCCGTGATAGTTCCCATGATGAGGATGCTAAACTTATTCCTCTAATTGCAGAAAGCCTATTACACAAGTCAAATAATGTGCCGTGTTCATTCCTACCTTTGCCAGCATCAGATAATATGTATTGGTTTGCTCCTAATCAAGCTTCTCATCAAGAATTGGGTTTTGATATTCGCTTGGGAAGATTGCATTCTCTTGGATTTGATGTATATTATTCTCAAGGCATGAGTTTTATCTCAGATTTATCTGAACTGCTCATGGAACCGATGCAATTAGCAAGAGGACATCAGTTGCTTGACCATGAATTTGCCAATGCTTTGCATGCACTTCAGGTATTCTTACTATTGATTTTTCAAGATAGGGTTTGTTAATTATACATGTTATGTAATCAGATATGAAGCTATATGAACTTGTTCATGAGATTAACTTAGTCTACTCATTGAGATTCTTAAAGCCGTTTTTCACTCACTGCTGCTCATTTTCTCTTTCTGGATTATTTCCATAGAAATTGAGGTAGCAACTACTACCCAAAAAATCTGTAGGATGGCTGCTACTTGATTAGATAATCTTTATAACTTCTAATGAGTGCATTGGAGGACTGGTGTCAAGAATGATGAATAAGCCATTCAATTTCATTAATATAAGTGCTGCATTGAAAAGGTTCATGTACTTTCTTAATGAGATGATATTGCGCAAGTTGTCTCCCAGCAAAAGAAAGAAAAAAGAAAAGAGAAAGAAAAGAATTGATCCATTCCTTCTTTAGCTGTTGTGTGGCACAAAGGCTTTTCAGCAATTGTTCATACAGTTTCAATGGCTATTTAGCTTTGCTGAAATTCTTCATACACTTGCACATGTCATTTGCAATTTCTTTCAGCAGAAGCTTCTATTAAAAAATCATCCTGATGATAACCCAGTCAACCTCTTATGATGAACAGGTGGTGCAATTTTACTTTTGGAAAGGGTGCAAATCTCAAACTTTTACAAATGAAGTTCAATCTGGCAAGGTGGTAAAATTATCACAATCACAATGCGAGAAAATTAGTCAAGTGAAATCTGTTTTTCTGAAGGATACTAAACTGGTGGAGACTGTTTTTCGACGTGTGGAGCAACAGTCCTTTGATTCAGCCTCTTTTTCCGCTGCAATCACTGCTTGGGAAGATTATTCCCGTAAGTTACATAAAGAAATCTTAATGAGCTTCCCTCAATGGAGAGCTCATCAAGCTATATACAGTGTTCAATTTGATGTGTCTTGACTCTTGACAAAATTTCAGTTATAGATCCCTGGTGATCTTGTGATAAATATCACTATTTTTTAGCTATTTGGGTTGTTAGATTTTATAGCTCAAAATTGTTTTGGTTTATGAGCAGATATTACTTATGTTCCTAATTGGACAGTGTGCCATGTAGGTTGCCCTTAAGACCCCATGCTGTTAGGATCATCCCTGACTGACTGAAAAAAAAAATACTGTGGTTGTCTATACTTGGAGTTGTTTTTGTCCAATTAGGAGGCATCTTCTACGAAATAAGTAAGTAATATTGCAGTCGGCAATTTTTAGGGAGGACCTATGATTGAGATCTGAAGGAATTGCTTGTATGTGTTTCAAGATGACACGGCTGTTTGCTTAAGGTTGTCTGAGGAGTAGGTGCTTCCCCTAATGTCTCCTCAACCTCCTCTAAGGACAAATTACAAATTGATTGGCTGAGCGAAAATAAAAAAAAGTTACAACTTGAGTAATTCTGAATCTTCTAGCCATAGCTTGAGCCCACAGTTGACTCACCTAAGTTTCAGATGGATCATGTTTCATGGTTTTGTCATGAGATACCCCTCAATCGTAGTAGATACCATCAATCCAGAAAACTTCAAATAAGTTATGCAATTTGGACAAAATAATTAATCTGGTGACAGAGTCATGACTTAATTTTTGTAGTACATGGATGAATAATAAGCATGTTATTAAATTGTGAATTAAATGACAAAAGGATTCTATTTATCTTTGCAATACATGTTCGATGCTTGCAAGAAAGCCTTGCTGATAGTGACTATTAAAAGGACTGGTGGCAAATTTGGAGGATACTTGAGTTTTTGCATCGTTTAAGCTCTTGAACTCCTGCAAGGATCTTTTCCTAATAGTTCTCCATTATTGATAGAATTGTCCCTTCTCATATTCTGCATGTTGGACTTTCTAGTTTGGCACAATGTGAATTACATGTAATTTTCCTTCTTTTGCATCAAGTGACATGGGGGAAAACACTATCATCTTAACTTTTAGGAAACCACCAAAAGGTGAATTTGGGATTGTTTACATGTAGTTGTAAATATGGTTTGAATATGAAATATTTTGAGCACAATCTAAGCTTAGAATTTGAATATTTCAGTTTCACCCAACTGGCTGCAATTGCAGCACATTTGTAGAACTCTAGCTGAACTTTGCTTTCTGAAATCAACTTTTGTCTGGTAGTATTATGGTTGCAAATCTCTTGCACTTGGCTTACTTATCTTGAAGTTGAAAAGCAGTAACTTCTGCAATAACCCTCTGATTTATAGATTGAATTGCTCTAATTAAGCGTCTGAATGCAGTTCTTTGGAGATGTTCCATGTATGTAAAACTCTGCCGTAAATATCATAGAATGCAATATGAGCTTTGTGTTGAGTCATTTGCATATAGATAAATCCTTGCCCATCGTAGTACAACTTGAGTTCCTTTGGATCCCACCAATGCACATCATCTTTCCATGCCTTAGAGCCACCACCAGTCGTTAAATACTGAATTTGGCTGCATTTATGTCTGTTAGTTGGATGTTCATAATTGTTCTCATAGAATCTCAAAAAATGTTAGACAATATTACCTGTTTTTGTCACTGATGTGTTCCAAGCAGTGATCGTGGCCGTTAATGTACATATCTACACTGTTTGCCTGAGAGAAAAACGGTATAATTTCCATTGTAAGCATAATCAAATAGAAAATGCAATTGATATCTTTGTTGGTAGTGTAGATTATATTACTTCAAGGATGGGTACAAGTTGTTTGACCAGCTCTTTAGTGACACCGTGGTGTCCAGTGCTTTTGATTGTATGGTGTCCGACCACTATCTTCCATTTTGCATTAGATTTCTTTAATGCTGCATCCACATCCTGCTTGAAACCGAGAATACTTTTCCCTTAACCTTTATTCTTTGTGTTATTGATATTATAATGTGCCTTGGCTATCAAATATAAAGTATCATCCTATGACTTCACCTTGAGGAGATTTGAAAGATAATCTTCCCTTGGAGAGACACCTTTCCAGTCATAGACATGATCCCCTGGATCTGTGAAATACTTATCAACAAATGGAGTCGTATCAACGAAGAAAAACTCTGCAAACCCTGCCTAAGACATGACAAAAGTCGTAAGTATACTTGAAGTTGACAACTGAAAATGTGAGAATGCTGCGGTTTTCCTTACCAGCTTTGAGAATAAATGATCTCAAGCAGAGCCACCTCTTGTCTTTTTCTCTAAGGACGTGACTCAATTGTGCTTCAACATCACCTCTATAGTCATGATTGCCCAAAACTGACATAAAATACCCTTTTCTCAGTTAACTTTTTTAGTGCAAAGATCAACAATAGATGCTATATTTATATGTAATCATAAAGTTAATAGCTAGGGAATGTAGAGATTTGATTGAATTATTTATTCGTTTACCATTGTACCATTGCTTTTTCAAACTTGGGGCTGTGTAGATTGCGGTGAATGACTGATTGAATGCAGGATCATCTACTCCTGTCAGGCCATCTTCATAAAAGTTATCCCCTGTCGAAATCACAAAGCCTATGTCTAGTTTCTGACCCACCAATCCCATCTATAACACATAAAACACAAGGGGAAAATATTAGGGTAAAGAAAAAAACAAATAAAACTGACTTTTGTCGTAAATAATAATATCAGTCTGATTTGTCAAAGTGACGATGGGCAGTCACTGAAAAGTTTAGAGTATAATATACTTATTTGGTCTAACATATAATTTTTATACAGTAAAAACTTAAAAAAAAATGTTATTAACTATATTTTTCATTAGCAATTAATAGTGCAATCAAATGCCAACAGTTACTAGCAAAAGAGATTTAATAGCATTGCTCAAAAAATCGTCATCAAAAATCAAATTCGATGCAGTGATGAGTAATACTTACTGATTCTACACTTGTATCTCTACTATTTATCTCTCTATGATAAAATTATATTAAATAATTTAAAAGTAAGATTTATCGATTTACAATAGATCAACTTATTCATAAATGCAATAATTAAGTACCGTCTTATTATTTTGGATCGTAGAGTAAAAATTTTGTTTTAATTTTCTGTAGTGGTGATATAACATTTGCCAGCAGAAACCATGATCGAAACGCATTGTTAGTTAGTTAGCAAAATCACTAGGAAGTTTTATGCATGCAATCATCGTGTTAGTTTAAACTATGTACGAAAATAGTTAGCATTAAGAATTGACTAAACTCAAGTGTTGAAAAGAGAATTGAAGTTCAAGTTAAAAATGAAAATAAAAAAATTGACCTGAAATGCAACTTTAGATTGATTGTATTGTCCTTTTCTTCCCCAGTCTCCAACCACCAAAAAGCTGAGAGACCCCTTCGGTTTCACCGGATGCTGAAAACGCTGGAGCTCGGCCACACAAGACTCCGATGACAGCCATAGCCAAGCACTAATCAGGAGAACGGAGACAGATGACAGAAAAGCCATTGTGTAGAAGAAAATGGAGAAATGATTTGTATTATTTGATGACCAAACATTAATTGTTGAGGAATACAAGGCAGGGATTTTTTCAGCTGCTTTGGTGACTACAACAATTACTTTAGAAAGTTAGTCTCTTAGCTCAAAGGTTGATATGTCGAATATCCCTCTGAAGTCTGAATTATATATATAAATATATTATAAAGACAACTGAAAAATATTTGCCCGTAAGAAAATTGAGGGAGGAATTTCTTTAGCGTAGCAAAATGTAAAAGGCCTTTACCTGGTACCACGTATATATGTGTTGGAGGAACAAGAAGGAAAGTATCCGAATGATACTTAAACCACCAATGTATGACTTGATGAATGGTTGTCAATTACACCAAGTACTTGCTTCTAAGAGATGGAAGGTTTAATTAGACATTAATGATACATTTAAATATCTAAGAATATAGCTTTTTGACATGTTTAAGTTAATTAGAAGCAAATAATAAAAAAATTACCCCTTTACAATTTTGGAAAAGAAATTGTTATTTAGCTGTTAGAATAATATAGCAAGGATGCTTGTTCAATTGCTTCCTTTTGTTTGTGTTCATACAAGTTTAATATAGTTTTTTTTTATTAAAATTTCGTAATTATTTAATCTCAATAAGTGATTTAATTAAATTTTATCTAAACCTTATGTGGATTTGGCATTCATGAATGATTGAGATTTATATAATTATATATAATTAATCGTAGGTCAAGTGAAGTCATTCTATTTTTATATTATTTTTCTATATCGAGAGTTAGGTGACGATTGTGTTACAACACGAATAGCTCTTGAATTTCTTGTTGAAAAGGGAATCTGATTTTAGACTCTTTTTTTGTAGCATGCATTGCCTCGTGAACTTAAGCTTTGTAAGATAGGATAGCTACACTTCTTTTATCACCTAAATTTAATATGTGTGTGTGCGTGTCATTCAACTTTTGTCTTGGGATGGGGGAGGAATTAATGCTTGGATTATTATTCAAAGTACTTTGATGTAAGCCATGATGGAGTTTCTTCGTGGTGACCGTGGAGAATATGCCGTGTGTGTCCGAAATCCGAATATGCCTTGGAATTATACCCTCGTTTGAAGAGTAGCTGTAGGTGGCTGTCAACTGGAAAGTGCAGCAGCAGCAATTATTCAACCACAAAATACGATTCAAGAAATAATTGAATGGGATGGGAAGAATGAAGCATACGTACCCCACTTTGAAAGTAAGTTTCATATAAATAGTTTTATTTTTTTAACAAATTAAATACATCAATTACAAGTAATTAATTAGTGTTTTGCTGACTCTGAATTCATGAATTATAACCCTGTTCTGCATGCTTTGTGATTACTTAAAATCATGCCAGGTGATGATAAGCACGTACCTTGTCAAGAAATTAATTAACTCAACCAGGGAATCTGCTCTCCGAGAAATCAAGGAAAGGATGAAGAAAACCAAGGACGAAAAGAAGGCTAAGAAAGCTGAAGTAGCAGCAAAGCATCTGAAGGGTCCCAGAGCCTTGAGCTGCTATATATGTTATTATCTGTTGGCTGTCTTGTTTTTACTTTTCTGCTTATCCTATACCAAGAACTCAGTGTTGAAGTTGAGTGATCAAGTAATTTTATGGATTTTGACTTTGTTTTCCTTTTTTTTTTTTGAAAAAAAAAAGAAAAGAAAAACCCCTGCAAGGTATGTGGGTTGGTTGTTATCCCTTTGGTAGCTAACTTTCTATTGAGGTTTCATTTACTTTATGTATTTAGCATTTGATTTTTTGTTTTTCTATTAAATAAATAGAAAGTAAATGCCAAAATTTTAAAAATGAATATACAAAAGACAAATAGTTAAAAACAATTATAAAATTGAATTATTAACAATATGAAATCTTAATTAATTGCATTCAGCATAAGCAGTAAAGCTCTCAAATTTAAAACCTTACCGTCATTTATAAACATATTAAAAGTTAAAACTTGAGACACTTATTATAAAATGATAAAATTAATCTTTTATTGAATAATCTAAAATCACACACATATATATATATAGTAAAACCTATATAAATTAATACCCTTAAGATTGTGAAAATTTATTAATTAATCGAGGTATTATTTAATCGATAAATTAATAATTTATTAATTTATACATTAATTAATAAAAACATAATTTATCAAGATATTCTTTATTTTTTTTAAAACAATGAACTTAATACATGTATTGAGTATTGTGATTATACAAACTAATTACAAATTATCATTATTCTATGTACTTGTTTAATCAAAACAAATTCATTAATGTAATTAGTTTTATTAAACAGAAGTCATAAATCTATCCATTTTACAACAAATTAAAATTACATTTGATGTATACTTAATTAATATATTTATGACATTAAGTCAAGTAAAAACATTTACAAAAAGAACATATAATATCACAAATGGTAAAGCTAAACACAATGACTTTTCATTTTAAAAGTATAAAGAAATCAACAATAACAAATGAAATGCGTAAAGGGTTATGTGAATATAACATAAAAAAAATTCAAATTGCACGCAAAAGTAATTATAATAATAGTTATTAGAAAAGTTTAACTTGCAAGTGAGCCCAGCAATAAAATATTAAATATGATCTAGAGATCATCAGAACATTTATCGAACAATATCAATTTTTTCTTACAATATGAGAACACTATACTAGAACTTCTTAATACATTAAAAAAAATTAGAGATGAAGTCTAATGAGACATCAATTTTAAGAAAAAACAAGTAATATTGAAATTATATTTTACAAAGACCTTTTAATTGAGTCAAATGAAATATATAATTTTGTGTATAACGAGATTATTAATTTATATATCAAGTGAAATTTATGTAAGTGTTTTATAAAGTGTATTATTTTATAAATTTAATGAATTATTAATTTATCATGTTAATATCAAATTGAGACCGATAAAAAATATTATTTAATTAAAGTTTTAATATTATTATATATATAAAAAAGAAAAACCGTTATCTTACTGTAACTTAATTTATGTTTTGAAAGAATTATTTCTCCCTATCGTGAAACTGTAGACGTTCCACATCTATTTCCGTAGATTAATTGTAAAATTTTTTATTAAAAAAAAGGTGAGTGGAACTTGATCGGTAGTCGGTAGAAAATGGGAAATGATCAAGGCAAATAATAATTAGATTAAGATTTTTGATCATGAATTTTTTAAGTCCAGAGCATGATCCATATTTGATCACGTCTTCGTTTACCAATAGACTAGACTATTAGTTTTATATGATGGAGAAAAATCCATTTATCCAACACTATCTTCGTTTAGCTTTTATATTAGAAGACAATTGTATGCCTTGTCCCGCACGTCAATATTTCTTCTTTCTTCTCATTTCAAACCTCTAAGTTAGGAGTTAACAGTTGTTTTCGCACGTAACTGCATTAATTTAATTAATTATGTTGTTGACGGTGACGGGTCTCTTGGTTAATTTAATAAAATATTTTTAATTAATTTTAGTATTTTTTATGAACTTTAGGCCTGTGGCCAAATCAGATGAGATTAATAAATCTCTTTTATTATGTAGTAGTTTAATTTTTTTTAAGTTTATTAGAATATGATTTTTAAGGCTCCGAATTCCTTAAATTGTAGTAATAATAAACATTTATATATATTTCAAGCAACTTATTGAAAAAAATTATAAAATTGATCTTTCAATTAATCGTTTTTTCATTGGAAAAAAGATATTTGAATTTAATTCTTTGAATATGAACACTTACCATTGACGATATTAATTGGTGATATTCACTAATTAATCATTTTATAGGACATGTTGGATTAAAAGCAGAGCATGGATCGATGAGAGACAATAATTTAGGTAAACTTGTAAATCAACCTAATAACTTATGTTGTTGTCTCAAATACGTAAACGATTTCGAATAGAACTATAGATAGTTAAACATACAACGCTCCCAAGATGACTCAAGATTCTCTCTGCTTTGATGCTTTATACGTCTTTAAATTGCAGAAGAAAGCTGCTTGGAAGTGATCCATTTGTGCATAACATTGCCGAAAACATCATAGAATGTGGCATCAACCTCAGTCCGAGTCATTTGCACAGACATAAAACCCTGTCCATCGTGATAGAACTTCATTTCTTGTGGATTCCACCAACTTACGTCACCCCTCCATGCCTTGGAGCCACCACCACTTGTTAAGAATTGAATTGGGCTGCATATGCATGGGGGACATGTGTATCAATTTTACTGTCTGTCCTCATTTTCAAAGTCTAGAGATTAAATGCTGAAAAAATAGTAATTTTTACCTCTCAGTGCTGCTAATGTGCTCCAAGCAATGGTCATGCCCGTTAATATAAAAGTCAACATCGTATGCCTGAAAATTTACAAGTTAAAAGTTTGGCTTTGTCAAAACTTCATTGTTTTTCATTTTTCTAGATAAGCCTCTTCGAATTACCTGAAGGATTGGAAGAAGATGCTTGGCAAGCTCATGGGTGTTGCCATGGTTTCCAGCACTTTTGATTGTATGGTGACCCACTACAATCTTCCATTGTGCGTTGGATTCTCTTAAGGCCAAATCCAATTCCTGTCAAATTAATACCCCACTTTAGCAGCTAGGTTATTTTTCTTAAATTCTGATATTTAGGGTCAAATTAAAAAAATGCATATGGTTGTAGCCAACCTATACATACTAGACAGACAAAAAAAAAAAATGCAGGCAGGCACTGATATATCCAAAGCTATTAAATTTTGGTGTTTAGGACCAACAATTAAGCAGCAAAATTTTACCATCAAAAGATTCTTAATGTAATTTTTTCGGGGTAATACGCCCTTCCAGTCATAGACCTGTTCTTCTGGGTGGGTGAAGTATGTCCTCACGAATGGAGTAGTGTCTACAAAGAAAAATTCTGCCATTTCTGTCGACAGAGAGCCAAAAAAAAAAAAAGGGAGGGGGTTAAAATTAATCTAAAAAAGTCCTTTTAATTAGCAAATATAGTTTAATTTGTTGGCTGACCAGGTCCAGCATTGAGGATAAATGATCTCAAACAAAGCCATCTGCTATCCATCTTTGTAAGAATGGGACTCAACTGGGCCTCCACGTTTCCCCTGTAATCATGATTACCCAGCACTGAAATACCAAAAAGTAATGCTGTCAGCAAAAGAATCAATCCACAGTTACTTACACCATTATAATTTAATTTCTTTTTTTTTCTTCGATAAAATAGGCAATAATTAGTAATGTTTGGAAACAAGAAATCTACTGTGACGACCCAAGGGGATTGAATATTACCAGAGTACCATTGCTTTTGCAAGCTAGGAGCTGTATAGATATCAGTAAAGGATTCATGAAATGCTGGATCATCTACACCCTTCAATCCATTGTCGTAAAAATTATCTCCCGTAGAGATAATAAAATCAACATCCAACTTCTCTCCAATTATTCCCATCTGAAAAAAATAAAGAGTAAATACTTTCTAAATTAATTAACAATTAAATTAAAATATACATTGAATTAAACAATCAAAAGTAATTTTTCATGATTTTATAAATCTCATAGCTCTTTTCAAAAGATTCGAATCCAAGATTTTTGATTCGGAATTTTATACGATTTTAACCATTGAATATCTTGATAAAATGTAAAATATTTGGATAGAGTCTATATATGACAAAGTATAATATTAGAAGGAGTACCCAAAACCCTATTAATATTTTCTAATTACTTAACCTATTAGTATAATGTTGGGGTCTTTTGGATTCAGTGAAACATTTCTTTCATTAATAAATTTAGTTTTGGCTTGTGAAGTTTTTAGTGCGAAAAAAGGACAAAATATTTTAAGAGGTCGATAGTGAATTAAATAAAGGTGGTACGACCTGTCCAGTTGAAAACGCGAGTGATTCTTGAGATCAGCAAAAGGTTGATTTATGCTTTTGATTTTGGGTTGGTGAGGATTTAAACCAATTGAGAAGGGCCAAAGGTGAAACTGGAATTCTCTGGTTGGAATATTGGAGCCATGGACTGGTAGCTGAGAGACGTGGACTTTTAAAACATGGGCAAGTTTGTCGCAAAGTGAATAATGCAGGAAAGATGGTGCCTATCCCACACAGCGTCGGTACCCACAATAGTTGCGTAAGGAACAATAGAAAATTATTAGAAAAGGAAAGGCATTTGGTATCTTACGTGGAATCATGCCATTCCAAAAGCAACCAAAAGATTAGGTAAAAGATTATTTATAAGTGGATAATAACTTTTCCTTTTTTTTTTATTTAAAGAAAGGAGAAGTTGGATTCAATTTATATTCGAAAAAGAAAAAATTTAACTTCAATTATTAAAAAAAAACATCTGCATGTACCGATCATTAAGTCAAAATGTTCTGATATTAGATTACAGGTCTTTTCGTTACATGAGCTAGATAATTTTCCTGATTTTTTTTTGTTAATAGTAATACTAACGTCTTAGTGGATTGTTTTGATGGTAAGTCTTTTTTATTATTTTGGCATCTACTACGTTTATGCTATTCGACTTCATTAGATAGCTTTGATAAATTTTCTCAATTATTGACGAACTATTGATTTGATGTGTGATGGATGCTAAATCCTGCATTCACCTGCCTCTCTCTAGAGGGCTATGTGTATGCAGGATTGACCATTAGTCAGGTTACTGAAAGAGCTTAGGTCTCTTGGTTTGAAAAAATTAAAAACAAAAAAGATTCTGGTTTAGACGTGATGATAAATCTTTGAAATGAAAAACAGTAAGAAAGAAGAGCTTTTTCGCATTTGGAACTGAATACCAAGCATTAACTGACGTAAGAAATGAAATAAATAGTTAGTAGAGAATAGAAGGTAGAAACAATATTGACCTGAAGAGCAACTTCAGATTGGTTATAGAGTCCTCTTCTTCCCCAATCTCCGACCGCCAAGAAGCTAAGAGACCCATCTGGTTTCGCCGCGTGCTCGAAGCGCTGAAGCTCCGCCACACAGGAAACAACGAACAGGCCAAGGAGTAGCGTCGATACAAGCGTTGAGAGCATGGTTTTTTGGCATAAAAGAACCATTGCTGTAGGAGACAGGACTCCAGACAGTGGGGAGGGAAAAAACTGAAAAGGCAATGAGTAGTTGATATGTGACTAATAGGGGCAAGGGAGAAGGCCTATTTATAAAGGTGGGGTTTCAAACCAGGGCAGAGAGGTTAAAAAACACACCAGCTAAGGAGTGATCAGTTATAGAAGGATATTGAGTAAAATTCATACAGAAAATATATTTCTTTCCATAAATTATTTTTCCATTGACAAATACAATCGGAGTTAAACGAATGAGGAGGAATAATCCACGAATGGGAAGTGAAAGACCCTGCCAAACTGTATGGTCTTCATTTTATTTTTTTGAAATTTTTGCTAATAGATAATCATATCCATTTTATAGCCAACTGGTTCTTTCTATTCCTTTTGCCCTCTTGTCCATCAGCTCTGCAATTTGCGTTAGTGCTGCTTCTAGTTTCTTTCCTATGGTCCAAAACTATGTGTGGTTTCGTGTCCCATGATATATGGTTAGTTATGGCATTGCTGTTTGGAATATAATGGAACAGAAATGGAGTCTTATGTTTAACTGTTGTCTAGTCTAATGGTTTTTTCTGTTGTTAATTTTTACTAGATATAAGACTAATTATACAAACTTGTGTTCAAGAATTTTATTTTTAATCGAATTGAATTCTTATCAAATGAGTTAAATTTAAGTGGTTTTGGTCTCATCTCATCATCGATCATTTTAAGAAATTTTAATATTCGAGTATTTGAATTGTTTTTCGAAATAAAAAAAATGAAAACAGGTTCACCCACCGTATATGAGATGATGCCAATGTCTAGTGGGGGACTCGTCACGTGGCTTTCCACAAAGCAAAGCCTCTTTCTAGAGTAAGAGGGAAGAAAAACATTAAACATTTCATGGAAAACTGCTACTTTGGTTCATATCTGAAAGCACTGGAATTTCCCCTCTTTCCAACTTCCGATTGGACTGATGATTGATGTTTACACCAATTACGTTATACCAAGTTATGCTTAAAAGTATGTAATTTTTTTTTCTTTTGTATTGGATGGAAAAACAGAGCATTTGATGCATGGAAAAACACAATGTTCTATCCTTTTTCTGCAATATTGTTTGGTTAAAAAATTCATCCCTAGTTATCATCTGCCCCAGTAAGTGCCTAGCTAAGTTAATATGTAGAGGAAATATATAGAATAGACATTGATGAGTAGGCTATACCCAAATGCTAGATATAAAAAATTGTAGGAGTCATTTCCTCCCTTTTTCCTCATATTCAGATGATATATATGGTCTGAGAATTGAATTTTGTATGGGGTTAAGAAAATTTCAAAATTGTGTGTGTCAAAATAAATATTTATTTTGAAAAATATTTATTTATTCATCTAATACCAATTATGTGATGGTAAGTAACTTCTTTCACCCTTTTTGTGACATGAAAGGACTGGTGCAAGCAAAAAAACCGTACACTTACAAGAGATTCTGCTGCACGGTAGGTAAGCCATTGACAGCATGTTATCATTTCCACGACTCATACAAAAATTAACTAGCAATAAAAACAGAAGCCTTAACCTGGAAGACCTGACATCAACAGAATTGCTAGCCTATCAACCAGTCCAAACAACAAAAACTCAACCATTGATGAGTTCTCAAAACCAGGTTCACTTCTAATAACATCAGTGAAGAAGAAAAACGTATCAACAGAGACATTGCACTGCCCATGATTCCCACCAAATGTGGGACATCTTTTGACACGCCAAACCCGATCATCGGAGCGCCTTCCACATTCAACGTAGCCCCAGATTCCTGAAATTGCTTTGCTCCGGGAGCCCAGTTTCAATGAACAAAAACCTACTGCCAAAGCATGAGTCAGTAAAAAGTGCATCACAAGCAGCTCCTACTGCCCCTTGTTGTATTCAGCAAAACCGAAGATGATAAAACCATAACCGCAACCAGTTCAGAGCCGAACAGAATATTTCTTTTGAAGTTACGTTTGAAAATTGTGAAAACTTGAAGAACAAGAAAATTGAAAAGAAAATGAGAACCTCCATTTATATGACTCAATGGGTTTGTATATGTACTCAAAAGAAATGTGAATGTTCCATTTTTTTTAATTGTGCAAAAAAAAAAACTGTGCATTTGGATTCAAAAAGAATTAAACGCTTTTGAATTTTCTTTTTGTAAAAAAAATCCACTATTAAACCTTTGAAATGAGAAAATCCCTGACTTCAAAATTTTGGAATATTACATTTCATCTAAAAATTTAATAAAATAAATCAAACAAATGAATCAATAAACAAATATATAACTAGACAAATCTAGTATAAAATTGGATCAAATCAATATACTATGGAGGTTGAATTTGATCTCAGGATACGTTTGATTCGCATAATAAAATAAAATAGAATAAAATAAGTATTACGTGAAAATAAAATAAAATAGAAATATTGTGAAATTGTTATTATGTAGTTGTTTGATGAAAGGAAATAAAATAAAAATTTATTGCAATGTTTAATTGGTAAAAATAATTTTAAAATAACACAAGAATAGGTGATAAAGAGGCAAAAATAAATTTTATTATAATATATGATTATCTATTTTTATTTTGTTTTTTTAAAATATTAATAATTTATAATTTATTTAAAATATTAATACTTAATAATTAATAATGTAAATATTAATATTTTATTTATAATTTAAATATATTATGATAAAAATATTAATAACTTTAATTATTCTCAAATTTAAAATATTAAATTTTTATAATATATAATTAAAAACTTAAACTTTTTATTATAATAAGATTTATTTTAAAAAAACAAAAATTACCCTTTATATAATGTAGTAAAATTTATATCAAAAGACAAAAAAAAGTAAATCTTTTCCCTTTAATTATTTAATTTTTATTTTCATTAAAATTTTTAAATTTTTTAAAAAATTAATATTTTTTATCAAAATATTAGTATAATTATTTATTTTTTTTCTATTTGCATTTTGCATTTTTTTAATTTATACTTTCATTAAAATTTTAAAATATTAATATTTTATTTATAATTTTAAAATAATTGTGATTAAAATATTAATTTTTTAATTTACAATTAAAATTTTAAAGTTGTTACTTTAAATTCTTATAAAAGGTATTTTATTCTTATCAATTTTAGAGGCTATTCCCCCCACCATGTAATAGCAAATACCATAAAGGTTTGGATTAGTTAAGTTTTGTTTTTTTGGGATTTTGGAGATTCACTATTACAAGAGAATAACTATTCTTTGGGCCATTTACCAACCAAAAGAGTGAAGAAATAATACATAGGAATAGCTGTGCTCCATATCAAACATGCTGTCACTAAAACAAGGGTCCATTGGCAAGATTAGAAAAGTATTTGGATTTATAACATTTCATTCTTTTTGCAATTTTTGTTCAAAAAGATTACGTTTCCCTAAAAAATCAGCATTAAATAATCTTCCTGTTTTTGCAGTGTATAATTGCTCCCCAGATTATTTATGGTTATTATTAATCCTCCACCCAAAGTTGCCATCTAAGTCCTTATCTGTTGCATCAAAACAGACACGAGTCACAATAATTCCTATCTTTTTACTTTAATCCAAGACAAGGGCAATGCAAAGTTTTGGTGACAAATAAAATTCCTAAAGTTATGAAAAGAAAATAGAGCAGCAGATAAAATTCCCTTCCTCCATGTGTCAAAATTTAATTGGTTCCAGCTGACAAAAAGTCGTAGTGTCTAGCTCTGTACAACTGGGTGCGGCCGAAGTGATGGAGCACACTACCATCAACATGTTCTCTTAAAGAAAGAATATCTGTAGAATCTCCATGCTGTATAACCATTACTCCTTTCTGAGATAAAAAATGAAGTTGAGTGAATTGTATAGGAAAAGTACGGCCTATAACCCACTGCTTTGAGTAATAATTCTCGAAGGTTGCAAAGTACTCTTTTGACTATATATATGCCTAAACCAACAACTTAATAAGTTTTCTATTTTCTATTTTTCGTCTTTTTCTTAACAAGAAGGCACCATTACCTAATAAAATTTCTTGAGGCAATTAAGCCAAATTTCCAATAAAGGAAAAAAGTAACGACAAATAGGAACTTTCTCCCGATTACGGCTGGCTGTTTCCGAATACATTGTTCTGTTTTTAACCTAGTGATCAATTTTACCCATCAACATCAAGATGTAACCATACCTTGCTTTGCCACCCTTTGTTTTTGGCTTTTAGGCTATATGCCGAAGAATGGTAGATTCTTTATCCTTCTTTGTATTTCATCTGCTTTCCTTTTTGAGATTCGTCTTTTACTTATCAATATGTACTTCTGATGGAAATTATTGGAATGCACATGGGGTTTGATTTTATATTGTTGCAAAAGGAAAGGACATCATCACATGGAAGGTTTTAATGGGAATTCCCAAAATGATAGGAGGTTGCACAGTCTGGTGTTGTCCTATCCAGTTCCATTGGAGAACTATTAAAATCTTTGGTATCTTCTGCGTCAAGCTCTCATTTCTTCAGCTTCTATCCAAATCTTGAGGAGTTGCAAGTTCCTTCAAACTTCCAACAGATAATCACCATATCCAGCTCCAAAAATATGAAGTGAATATTTTAAACAATGATATGGGGCTACTTCAATCATGATCCAATATATATGGTGCAAATTTGGAGCATTGTGCTGAATATTGATGGATATGAGCGAATATAGGCTGTCACTTGTCTGATCGTCCAGCCATTTCTAAATGAATTTATGCGTTTATGGAGCATCCAATAATTTGTTTGTTTTTTTCCTTTTTAAAATTTTCAATCGGGCCGAAGGTGCAACCAAACCCTTGATCCTAGTTAATTTTGTGCTCACCATTCCGGGAGGGTGATTCTTAGGTCAGGAGGTCGTTCAATCCTTGATCCTGCAATTTAAGGACTACGGGATCCTGTATATTACCCAGCAAATAAATATAAACTCAGGCAAAAGGTCACAATTAGAAACGGAAGATGAAAATATGTGTCTTATTAAAGATTTTTATTCTAAAAAAGACCGTGACTTGAATTTATAATTTCTATTTAAAACCTCGTCACCATTTTTCTTTGAAAGGCAATTGAGGGTTCAAGACCAAGAGAAAAGGGAAGAGACCCTTTAACAAAGACTTTTACAAAAAAGGTAGAGAAGTCGCTTGTGCACGAGACTTGGGTTTCATCGGCCCATCAGCAAACTTGTTAATCTCTCCTAGAACGTGGTTAATTAATGACAAGTTACAGATTTTGTCTTCATAATTTTCTACATGATTGAAAGACTCC